ATAATTCGGGTATCTGCTTATGTTGATAGGGCTTCCTGTTTGCACTTACGTTTCACTTTCTTTTTGCTAATGGTTAATTTCATATGTAACCAGTGAGGCATCATAAAAACATAGTTTGGTCATGTGTATATAGGAAAAATTGGGAAGTTTGGGAAATCTATGATGATCTAAAAGGTTGGTGATTAAATTTAGCTTGGTCATGTGTAATGTTGAGATACAAATACACAGTGCAAAAGAGTGAGCTGATCCAAGTAGGAGAATCAAAGAGTGAAGGAAGCTCAAGATAATCATGCGGTGAATTCTAGTTATTACACTTGGAAAAATAAATAAATATAGTTATGATAAATTCTACCAAATAAGGATCTTTGTAGCCGGCCCTATACATTTGGTATTCCAGTTGAGTTGAGTAGATAAGTTGGTAGTTTCATCAACTTACTGTGTGTCTCTGCTATTATATATATAAATGAAAACTGTGATATTTGCTTCATTTCTGCTGCCAATAGGTTTACATGTCAGTGACACGGCATGGTATTACAAACTTTGCTTATTTCAGGCAGGTGCTCTTGACAAGCTAGAGTCCTTTGTAAGCTTCAATGGGGCCAGACTTCTATGGACTTCCTCGAAACACGTCAAAGATAAAGCTGAGCAAGACTTCATTTAAGGTACCAGACTGCTTCTCGTTTCCATTTGGAGAAATCATTCCAATGTTTGCTGGGGAAACACTTGAATGGCAGCCATCCTTCAACTGATTCATCTTTCCATACTCACAGACTAAGTTGTTGGAATTTACTTGTTAATCATTTGTCTTTCTCCTAATTTTCACCCCCGCAATGCTGGAAATTCGAATTAGAGCGACCCCAGTTTTATGCTTATTTCATGCATACAGAATGTGAAGCTTAATTTAAAATTGATAACATGTTTGAAATGCTTGATCGATCTTCTGATTGTGATTTCCAGGAAATAAATGACGACTGAATTGAATATGTAATTTCTGTAGAAAAAATTGATTCATAAGTAGAACATTAGAAAGATTCTTTGCTAGTCGTAGGTGTGGGAAAAGCTTTAATAAAATTACTGATTAGGTATCTGGTTTTTGCAACACTACAGCTTCTATCTCTTCTTTAGTGGATATTACAGTCTTTCTTACTTCTAAGAAAATGACCTCTCTGTAAATCCTCTCCATTTCAAATCCATGTCCACACAAAGCTTTTCCTTCCTTTTGACAAATGATACAATTTCTTTCACTTGTTTCACATATTTTCATTACGTAGGGGATGCGAAATATGCTCAATTCCATTTCGTTGCATAAACAAGTACGCATTATATTCTCATTTATTGCCATTTTATCTGCGTGCACTACCATATGCTTTGTTTCCTCATACATTCTTGTTTGAGCTTGCATGGCCAAAAACTTACTAATTTCTTTACACTTAGAAATCCAATCTAATCCGACGTAAGATTTGTTTTTTAGTGTAACACTTGCGTGGTGTTATCAACCATCAAAATTATAAGACGTGATAGTAATAAGTATATTTTAAGGTATAACATTAATATGTGTGAATTGATAACATCTCGTGACGGTGTTATTATCAGATTGCAAAATTTACCCAATCAGGAAAAGCATTAAATTATCACACTTGCTTAACACTAAAAATCAGCCCATTCCATCAGCATGCAACAAACTAACTACCGAGAATGCAGCATACGTGACCACCTTTCAATTCCTACGCAATTGCCTCTCTCTCTCTCTCTCTCTCTCTCTCTCCTCTCTCTCTCTCTCTCTCTCTCTTAAATGTGTTTGATAAGTAGAAATGGAAAAAGGTAGCATTTGTCTTGTACAATGAAGGTGGTGGTAGAGAATTTGACAGGAAGTCTCTTTTATGTTCAAGTGGGCAACAATGCCACGGTTGCTGATCTAAAGCGAGAGATTGAAACCCAACAGAAACTCCCTTACGACCGTATGATCTTGATTCTCGGCGCTGATGATCATAGACTTATGATGAAGGATGATGGCGATGATGGGGTTTCGCTGGTTGATTATGGAGTTCAAGATGAGTCCCACATCTATATCTTCTTTGATCCCCTTGATGATGGCTCCAGTCACCGGTTTTTACTTACCTGGCCTGATTCTCTCTTGGGGTGGGCATAGCTGAGCTCCCATGCCGAAGACCAAACATTCCAAGGGAGAAATCACGGAAAAATGAGAGGGAGATTAAAATAGCAGATAGTGAATCTGGGATTCATATATTTCTTCTCTCTTTTATTCAGGACCTTCTGATGGTATGGATAATCATTTGTTACCTAGTGCTTTACAACATTAGATAAGAGGCTTTTCGTAGTACAAATTAAATTGTTTTTGTAATATGTATAGTAATATGCTTTTATGCAGGTTTCTTTATTTTTTTCTCTTTTAGAAATTTACACACAGCATTAATTCATTTTAAAATATCTTTTTATATATAACCGATAGTCTAAACAACTTTTTTGTTTTGTTGAGAAAATAGTCTAAACTACTTTCTATGTTAAATTAATCTAATTTACCGAGAGGGAAATTTGAACTTGGGTGTAAGGGGACGGAATAATTGCCCTAATCATGTTGACAGGACCCGCTCTAAGCCGAACCCTTTGTGTGCTCGACACTTACCCAAATTTCACTTTGGAATCTGAGCCGACCCTGTGCATGCCCGACAACTAGGTGTAGGTGTCGGGCACCTCGAGGCATTTGGGTTGGGTCCTGTCACATGTAGTGTAAAATGGCCTAACCCACATATGTTCATTAAGTTTTAACATAGAATCACAGTGTTGAGTAGTCTCAAATAAATTGATTAGGACAAAATTAACTTTGAGTACTTATGAACAATACTTTCTTGGTACTTAATAGTTGGGCAAGTTTCAGCAATACTATGTGGACTTTAAGTCGTTGGACATTTTGACCCCCTAAACTTTGTTTGTATTTTTATTTATTTGCGACATTTTACGACCTAAACTAAACTTTGGTAGAAAAATATGTTGTCAAGATTGTTAGGATTTTCTTTGAAAAGAGTCGCGTGCAAGTCACATACCACATGTACTTTCTTTTTTGTGCCAGATGCCACATAAATTTTTTAAAGTTAAAATCTCACACCTATAGATCCATTGGGCATAACTCAACCCAACATATTGGACCTAGGTGGTTAAGGAGGACAATATCAGTGCTGGTTTAGCGGCCTTTTTTTTTTTTTTTTTTTTTTTTTTTTTTTTTTTTTTTTTTTTTTTTTTTTTTTTTTTTTTTTTTTTTTTTTTTTTTTTTTTTTTTTTTTTTTTTTTTTTTTTTTTTTTTTTTTTTTTTTTTTTTTTTTTTTTTTTTTTTTTTTTTTTTTTTTTTTTTTTTTTTTTTTTTTTTTTTTTTTTTTTTTTTTTTTTTTTTTTTTTTTTTTTTTTTTTTTTTTTTTTTTTTTTTTTTTTTTTTTTTTTTTTTTTTTTTTTTTTTTTTTTTTTTTTTTTTTTTTTTTTTTTTTTTTTTTTTTTTTTTTTTTTTTTTTTTTTTTTTTTTTTTTTTTTTTTTTTTTTTTTTTTTTTTTTTTTTTTTTTTTTTTTTTTTTTTTTTTTTTTTTTTTACAACCCTATAATGAGGGGTAAGTTATAAGGGGTAAGTTATAAGGGGTTCACTTATAGTCATTGGGATCAATCGAAGGGCTGGGGAGAATTGGGATAAAGTTGTGCAATCGGGTAGGTGAGGAACCCAAACCCGAATTTAATATCCAGCAATGAAGTTGGTCCCAACAAAAAAAAAAAAAAAAAAGGAGAGGTTCGAAGTTTGAACAAAAAAAAAAAAATGATCTCAAACTCATAGCTGAGAGAGAAACCGCTAAGCTCTGAGAAACGTTGAAGGCAAGCGGGCAACGACGGTTGAAGGCAACGGGCAACGACGGTTGCAAAGGTTAACGAGGTTGACGCAACTCACTATCTAACCGTGAAAAAGTATTTATTTTGAGTGGAAGGAGAAAGGCGTGGATTCTGAAACAGTGAGGAAGCGAAAGCAGTGGAAGGGGAAGGAGAGAAGCCGTATTCGTTGGAAGTGATATGTTCCATTTGTGGAGCAAAGCCGCACAAAGACCCAACACAGACACCTTGCGATTGTTCATAACCAGCATTGGTGAGTAATTTATGGAATTTGAGTTTAGGGTTAGAGTAACCGTTTTCCCCAATTTGTAGCATGAATGTTGTTAGATTTGGCATCTCTTTCTTTGTGCTTCACTTGCATGTTAATTTTTGCTTGGGTATATGTTAAAAAACGGATGAATATAAAAGTCAATACCATGTCAATACTGTCAATAATGATATGAATAAGGTAATGGTGTTGAATTGGAGGAGGCCCTCAAAACCTTCCACATTTGAAGCATGCAGAGTGCAGATTATCTCTCTGGAGCTAGAAATATATATAATTTTTGAAATAAATATTATTTCCGTTGTTACTAAATTTGCCTGTTAAAAAAATGAGAACAGATATAAATAAACTCATGATAAAAGTGCAAAGCATTTGAAAAAAGGTTGATCTATGACGATTATGGCTGACTGAAGAAAAAGCTAGAAAGAAAGAAGGATGTGGCAATGGCTTAGCGAGCAGATGCTTTGCTTTGCTTCCTTCCACCATCTTTCTCATTTATTTATTATATTTTTGTGTTGTGTATGAAATGACAATAATTGTCATGTGTGTGAAGTGCAGAACTTGCCTAGATTGCACTCACACTCACTCATGCATCAACCATTGATTGGAGTTTGGATCCATAAATAAAAACATGCTAGTGCTTGTAATTCACAGAATCATTGCATTAACAGGTATTTGCACAAATATGTCATATTGCTTTGAGGATGTTAAAGCCTGTGATCAGTAATCCCTATGCGCATGTACTTTGTAAAATTTGTAATGTGCTGGTTGACTAGTTGTGTAAATACCAATGTGATTGTGCAAATACGTGGTAGTATATGTGTTCACGTTATTTCATCTTGTATTTCAGGAAATGGGATCCAACGTTGAGCTGGTATGGCCAGAGTCAGAGGCATATTCCTCACGGGTGAACAACTGCTCACATGCAAATTCATCCCTAGCTGTAATTCGAGCGAAGTTGAGTGCCGAACAATTAGAACAATTCAAGACATCATGCTTTGGCCATCTTCTGAATATAGATAAGATTCAGTTTAGCGGGCAGATTGTGCATGGGGTTGTGTTGCGTAGAGTAGCGGGGCAGGGGTGTGAAAGACTTGGATGGACTGAGTTTTCTTAATAGGGTGCGACGTTGCTCAGTTCACTCGTCAGGATTTCTGTTTGATCTCAGGGCTTTCGTTTTGGGGGAAGTGCCTGAAGTTTCCAGTGGAGAAAGTGATGAAATTAGACTTCAGAAAAGATATTTTATAGACGAAGGAATTACATGTAATGCTTTAGAAGAAGCATTTGTGAGGTGCACAGAGGAAGATGACGTCTACAAGCTAGCTCTTGTTTACTTTGCTGAGTTAGTGGTTTTGGGAAGGGACAAACATTTGAACATCAATCTAAATTACCTGACCCTTGTAGAGGACTTGGATGCGTTCAACAGGTTTCCATGGGTTTCGGTGTCGTTTGACAAAACCCAAGACAGTCTGTTTTCTGCACCAACAAAGTATGTGAAAAGCTTTGAAAAGGAGAGGGAAGAGGGAAGGGGAAATGTAAGGTAACCGGAACAAGCCGGAGAAATGAGAAGGGCAAGAAGGATAACCATGGTGAAGTGCAAAGGGGTGGCTGGAGTTTTAAAGGTTTCACGTATGCTTTCCAGGTACATGGTAATAATGTTCATGTCGTTATGTTCTGTTGACTTTAAAACTTAAATAATAACTTGTGTCCTGTGAATTGTGTAGATTTGGGTATATGAATTAATTCCTAGAATGGTGGACCTGAATTACTGCAAGGTTGTTGATCCGACAGCTCTCCCGCGTATTTTGCGATGGAGAACTACTACGTCTGTTCCCGAGATGAGAAAGTTGAACAATTATTTTTTCCAGAGCAAAGAGGTTTGGTTTGCAGCCCTTGGAACTATTTATAAGATTCAATGAAATTATGAAGTAGAATGATTGCATATGACTCTTGTCTGTTTTCTGAAACAGTCAGTTCAGTTGCGGGCGCTATGTCCAAGTGAAGAGGAAATGAGACAACCATATTGGAGTTGGCCACAGGGTCGCCCTGCTGTTGTCTCGGCAGAGTCAATTCCTTCTTCATGTGCTGACCTTGATGAGTTGAACAAGGCGGTAAGCTTGTTGAGGTCCGAGTTGTTTCAAGTAAAGCGGGAAAAGGACGTCCTTGAGTTAAAGGTCATACGGATGGAAAAAAATTTGGGCCACTGTTTAGGTCCTCATTTTGAGCAGGAAGTGAGAAGGGACATAGCTTTACTGAAAGAGAGGACGAATCGTTGTGTCGTGTCACATCTATTTAAGGGATATGAGGAAGTGGATGGCATGCAATGGGATGAAGGGCCAAGTAATAGAAATGAAGGAGAGGCAAATGAAGAGGAGGACATTGAAGGGGGTGAAGGGCCAAATAACAGAAATGAGGGAGAGGACAAGGAAGAGGAGGGATTGAAAGGGGTGAAGGGGCAAGTAAGACAAATGAGGGAGAGGAAAAGGAAGAGGAGGGATTGAAGGGGGTGAAGTGCCAAGTAAGAGAAATGAGGGAGAGGAAAAGGAAAAGAAGGGGATTGAAGGAGGCCAAGTGCAAAGAAAACCAAGGGAGGTAGAGGAAGCTCAAAGGAAAAGAAGTGAGGGAGAGCAAGTGAAATAAAAAGCAGCAAAGGAGAGGAAGCGCAAAGAAAGAGCATTGAGGGAGAGGAAGAACTGCAAAGAAAAAGCAGTGAGGGAGAGGATCCAAAAAAAAAAAAAAAAGGAAAGGAAGTGAAAAGACAGAGAAGTGAGGAAAAGGAAGTGCAAAGAAACCCAATGTGAGGAAGAGGATGATGAAGTTATGTTGGTTGGCGATGACATTGGCGAGAGCACGGAGGGGACAAAGGTTGAGGTTACTGTCGGGGACATTGATTTGGATCAACCTAGAGCTGTGTTATCTCAGTTGAACGTTTGGTTGAATGATGAAGGTCAAGGTGTGGAACGAGGGGTCCAATTACGGAAGAGGAAGAGGATTATTCCTATGTGGAAGATCGTTGAAGCTAGTGAAGTGGTTAAAAAAAATTTGCCAAAGACAACCGGACTTCGGACGTTAGACCCAATGAAGGCGATTCCGCATGATGATATGGTGAAATTGCTGAAACTTTGTTCGGAATGGCGCCATAACCCAAAGTAAGTCCTTTGTTTTTTGAGATAGAAGGCATGAGTGTATATATTTTGTAATTGTTGTGTTCTAAAACTTTTTTATATTCATAGTTTGGTGATGCAATTTGGCAACGTGGAAGCTGAGATTGAATTCTTCGCTTCCCTCGTCAAAGCTGACGGCTGGCTGAAAGGAGATTTAAGTTTAATTGATTATGCATTTGTTTGAATGTGCATAGATAATGAGATTGACAAGGAAAACATGTGCAACACATTGATTTGGGCTTGTATCTCATCCGGAAGCGACAACAACAGTTGGAGGAAGTAGAAATATCGGATTGGACAACGACCGATGTATTTTTTATGGTATGTGATGCAGGATGCATAGGACCTAAATTGTTTAGTTTCCTAATTATTGTTAGTTTCCTATATTCTTTAGTTTTCCAAATCCTAGTAGGATTTCTAAGTTAGTTTTCCAAATCCTATTAGGATTTCTAAGTTTCCTATTTTATTAGGAATAGGATTTCTGTTTTACCTGGGGATTTTAATTCTATTCTCTCTAGGTTTTAGTTTGCTATAAATACCCCTGTGTAGTTCTTTACAATTCAGATTTGAATATTGATTAAACATTCCTTTAAACTCTCTGATTTCTGCCTGCCTTCTACCTTTTCTTCCCTTCAGCTTTTCTTATCTGTTATGTCTTATTGCTCTAAGTGTTTAAACTAACACACCCAGGGCTGTGCTACATCAGTATGGCATAGGCCTTGACCAAGTGCAGTTAATAATTACAAATTATCCATACTTGCTTTGTGGAGTTGTTTAACCCATTGATTGTTTTCTATTTCACAGAATCACATCCATACTTGCTTTGCGGATAATAAAAGGAAAAAAGAGCAAGTTGGGTGGAAAATTAGAACCCAGTTTAGTGAACGTTGTAAATGGCAAGGTTCCGGCTTGTGGATTGGATTGGCAGAACACGTATAAGGTGTATGTACCTTGTATGTTGCAAAAATATAAGCATTGGGTGGCTCTAGAGATTGATCTGATTCAGTGTGAAATCAAAGTCTACGATTCAATGGTTTCACTCATTCCAGATCAGAGCTTAAAGGAAGAACTCGGCCCCCTGTCAATTACGATTCCAAATCTTCTGCACACCCTCGACTTTTATGAAGAAGGTGTTTACGCGAACGAGTGCACCCGAGATTGGTGGTGTCCATGGCCAATACATCGTGTGGATGTTCCACAACAGGCTAATCAGTGAGCACAACTTTTTATTTAATTTTATTACTTTAATTTGTCAATTATGTTAGAATGTCATTAGTTGAATTGGTCGAGTTCTTGTTTTGCTTCAGAGGCGATTGTGGTATGTTCGTGTTGAAGTACATTGAGCTGTTGAGTGCTGAGATTTCCTTAGCTACTTGCACCTCGCAGAACATGCCATTTTTTCGGTTGAAGTTGGCTGCAGAAATTGCACGGGGAGATGCTTACATGCCATGATATCGGTTGAACTTGGTTTAGGCACATGATGATGAAATAGGTTTTGGGAATGTCAAATTTCAAAGTCATGTAAATACACAATAGAGACCCATGGGTCCTTTTCGAATTCCACCTCTGCTCCTGAATTCTTCTTCGTCTTTCTCAATCTTAGTGTATTTGTGTACAGAAATTTAGATTTAAGTTACTGGACAATAACAATTAGAACCAAAATAGTGGCAAATATTATAGCGGATGCATGCTTTCATTTTGATTAGTGTGATATTACGCTATGTGTATTCTCATATTGTGCAAAATGTATATGGAGCTGGTTGCAGAGCATAGAAAAATGAAGACTCTGAAATGGAGATGCTGAGGGTTGGAGAGGAGAAAAGTAACTGGATCTGTAAATCTATTGCACGTGGGCAATCTAAATGGATAGGCAGATGCGTTTTTGAAGTTAGACACATGCCATTCCCATACATAGAATGTGCATATGGAGTGTAAAGTTTTTTTTGATGTAATGAAACAAACATCGGTGTAATATTGGCCTAACTCCTTCACGACATTTACCTAACCTCAACCAAACTGCATTGAATTGGGATTTGAAGACTGCATATGTGAATTTGGATTTGAAGAATGCATATTCACATACGGACTGATGGCTTTTTAAGTGTATTACATCATTGCAAAGTGATATGTCATCATTTATCCAAGCCACCATTCCAAATATCAGATCCCAATCTTTAAGCCGTTCAACATGCCTTGACTTAATCGCAATGGGTTGCATCTTAAGGTAATTCTGTAAGGGGAATAGGCTGCTATGGCCTCGCCTCCAATATTTTATTCAACCATGCCCTCCTTATAGAAACACATGAAAAAATGTCCCCAGGTGCAATGCTCTAAAAACTCCCTATTGGTTCCGCACTGCCCCTCGGGTTTGAATCCCTCTCTCCTTTATAATCGGTTAATAAATTGGTTGATTTTCTTTATTTTATTGGTTTTGGGCAGCTGAGTAACATAACAGTAATGTATATTGGTGCGTCTATATTGCATGTCTGTTGGGTCTATATTGCTTGTCTATTGCGTGCATATCTTTACATTTATTGCGTCTGTATTGATTTGTATTGCTTACGACGGAAATAAATAACAATACACAGGCAACAGACAAGCAATATACACGCAATAGATATGAAATATACACGCAATAGACATGCAATATACATCAGTCCCCAATTACATCAACCATAAGGAAGTCGTATTGAATAGGAAATTCTACTTAAGTTGTTCTTCCTACGAAAACAAAGAATAAGGACCGTTTCCCCCCTTAAATCTAACTGGAGTCCTACTTTTGCCCCCAATAAACTTGCAATATTGGAGCAATAACATGCGATATACATGCAGTAAACACTCAATCAACTTTCAATAAACCTTCAATATCGGTTCAATAACATGTGAAATACATGCAGTTAACAATCATGAAACCTTCACGAAACATGTAAACAATCAATAAACCTTCAATAAACACTCAATATCGGAGTAATAACATGCGAAATACATGCAGTTAATGAACCTTCAATAAACAGTCAATATCATGCGATTTACATGCAGTAAACAATCAATAAACAATCTATATACACTGAATAATTATGCAATCTTAAAAAAAAGGTATTGTCTTATTATTGCATTGTATTGGCCCTGTATTGTCATTTTATCGTCTTCGTCTGACTTTATTTTTGTAAAGTAACTGTAGGAAAGTTTTTACTGGGTTTCTGACAAGTAAATGCTTTTGTTTCAAACAATAATTTAAACTCAATGCTAATCCACCTATTTCAATAACAAAAATTACAAATTGGGTTTGAAAAGTCATTGGTGGTGCGTGCAACATGTGTTTTTGGGGAGAACTTTTACAATCCTTGAAACCGTGCACTTAATTGGTCATTAAAAGAACAAATAATATGACAATTGATACAACTAATAAAACTAATACCAAGTCCTTAATGGACTTCAGCATATTAAGCACTGTAGCATCATACGTGTCAGCTTGCTGATCTGCTTCAGCGGAGGTTACATCAACCCATTCGAATCCATTGCAACTGGTGGCTCCCTAATTGCAGGCATCATATATGCAAAATAATTCTGTCAGAGTTAGACCTAGGATTTTTTTTCACCCACATACATATTCTGGAAATGAGAACTTACATAGGAGGTTAGACACTTCCAAAATGCCTTCCTGCGATTTTTATCTGATTTTGAAACCCGAAGCACCATTGCAGCTCCACAATACTGACACCTCTTTGTTTGAGCGGGAGATGAAGACGAAGACATGTTGAATCTTATCACTTGTACCTCTTCTCACTCAATCTTCTCACTAAAACCTCTTCGGACTCATACCTTCTGAGTTATACCCCTTCACTCATAAGTCATAACCCTAAACTTCTCACTCAGCTCTCTCTCATCTCTGCCCAAATCGAATTATATCCTTCTTTTCTGTGTGTGGGTGGGTTGGTCACGATCTGGACACCTGTACCGTCAGAATTGTGACACATTTTACTCCGATAAGCGATATACTATTTCACAAACAATAATTAATCTTACAATTGAGGGGACACTGCTTTAAATATATTATTTTCTTTATATTGCATTAAGGCAACTAGTTGGATAAGAATCCGTCATTTAATAGGGGTAGTGTGGTGTGGGAAAATGAAAAAGTATCTGATGGGACCTTCTGTCACTAGTCAGTAATCCATCACATTTGTATCAATGAATTTAATGGCGGGAAAAGCCTAACAATGGCTATGGAAATAGGTTATTAATTGACTTTTGGACGGTCTGACTCCCTTTGCATTTTGATGACGTTTTCCCTTCGCCTGTCTTATGTTTTGGGTGTTGAGTTCAGTTTCTTTAAAAAGTGTCAACTTGGTAAAACCCCAAGGAAACACCTTTTCAGAACAGTGCAACCAGAGGCTAAAACAAACCCAAAACCCCGTATATTCTCATTTCTCCCCTCTTGCAGTCCTCAAATCGTTCCATTCCAAAAATATTTCAATGAATTCCAAACATTACACTACAGTCGGAGGAAAGAGAAGGAAGCATCGCGATCCGGATGTGCCTCAAGCCTTCATCCCGGAATTAGCTTGGTTTAAAGTGATGTTATACGTGGCAACCAACTCATCGGAAGATCTCTTTCGTATGGCATGTGTGTGCCGATTGTTCAATACGTTGGCAAACACTCCACAAGTGTGGAACACAATTTCAATGGAAAAGTACCGAGACCATCCTAACTGGTACTATGCCGCAGCGCAGGTCCGGCATTTCGTGGACCAATGCAGGGCTTGCCAGAACCCTGAGGCGATATTTAGAGAAGCGTTCGACATGTTTTTCAGGCAGGGTAATGTGGAAGCATTGTCTGGGATGCGCGTTGCAGCCACGGCAGGCCATATGGAAGCGTCATATCTAGTTGGACTACTTGGCATGTCCGGAATTGGTCAGTCAAAAGAGGATGCATTGGAATTCTTGTGTTCTTTGAATCAACGTAACAACATTGATATGAAAGGAACCAGGGATGCTTTGAGACGACGATTAAGCGGAATTTTCTCTGTTGGAAGACATATCGTAGATATGTTTCACTATGGGAAGATTAAGTTCAATCAGTGCAGCGCTTGTAACAACAACGACTGGTGTTTTGTTATTCCAGGCTGGCCTAGTGAAGAAAAGATCAATCCTGCCTTCTGGACTTGTTGCAATCGATGCAAATGGCACCGTGAGAGTGTTTTTTGGTTCAAGGTGATGCGTGTCTATGTTGTGCCAGGGAATCCATACCCTTATAATTAGTTGGAGTATGTTTCTACGGTTTTTATGCGTGTCTATGTTCTACACATGTTGTTTTCTATTTCATGTTTTAATCTATTTTGTCTGGTGTTTGTGCTGTCCTAGCCCGTTTTATATATAAATGTATAATATTTGCTATATAGTGGAATTATTACTGACATAATTGACGGCTAAGAATGACATTTTACTGACACAGATATTTTGCACAACTGCAATCTTAATATTTGGTAAACGAAAACGCATGCATGAAGTGAGTATGTGTCTTTTCACCGGTTCTTGGGAATGACATTTTCCCACTTAGCATATCCCAAATGATTGGGTTACACGTTTCTTAAGCAAAACTTGAACAGTTAAAGACTTTGAATAATTATTTCCTGATGTTGTAGAATGGATGGCTTGTATATTTCCATTTTATGTTTGAAAACATCCCTTACACCTAAAAAAGAAAAAACATTAACAAATTGAAGAAGAGAGAAACTGATTAGCACCAGAAATGGTCTATTCACACGGAAAATAAAAATAAAATTACAAATTTGGAGTAAATATAATTAACAAATGTACAAGCTAACAAGTAATATAACAATAATAATAAAAATAATTTTGGATAAATAATAATAAATACTAATGTAGCGTAACCATGAAACAGGGAATTGAGGAGGAAGATGAAGTGTGAATGAGGTTGTAGCAATTTTCGGAACATTATTGTGATTTTTGTGTATTTAGTTATGAATTTTCTAAGAAAAAGTCATAAAATAATAATTTAGGGTAAAAGGTAAGGATGTGGCCATGTTGACTGATGCACACTTGTCAAGGGGTGAAAGGTGAGGGGCTGAGATCGCGCCAGGTGTCCATGTGGCAATTATTTTGGCTTTTTTTGTGCAAAAATCTTTGAAAAAAATGCAATAAATAGTAGAAAAATCCTAAAAATGCCCCGAAAAATACTCCGGCCTCCGTGTGACGTTATAAAACGAGGGGAACCCATAGATCATCCATTTCGCAATTAAAAATTCAAAAATGATTTACATAACTCACTTTCCTCTTAACCCTAAGTATATATGTTGTTCACTTTAACAAGTATATTTCCTACTTCAACAAGCATCTCCCGTTAATGTTTGGAATTGTTTTTTAGAATGCGTAACCACTAATCGGGGAATTCAGCAAGGGAGATGGAGTGTCAATGAGGTCGTAGCAAT